CCGCCCACCACAGGAAGGTTGTGGGCGGGCGCTGTGACGACCGAGCGCCCGCGGTGCCCTGGGGTCCCCTGCCGGTGTCCTGAACCTAGCGCGCCGCAAGGGCTGCCGCGCCTTCCAAGAGCGGAGGGACGAAGGCGCCACCCATCCTCAGCCCCCAGCCCCCAAAGCCCACCTGCAGGCTCTGGTGACCACAGAGCTGCCTCCCCCGGGCCACTGCCCGGACTCCAGCCCGGGACTGGGAGAATGGGGTTGGGACGTGGGGGCGTGGGGCGGAGGCAATCCACCCCTGGATCCTGGCTGGAGAGCTAGACCCTCCATGCCCAGTGAAGGTTTGTGGGTGTCTGAAGGGCGCCCCGGGGCTTCCCAACCTGGCCAGGGCTAAGCAGATTGCTGGGACTGCCCAGGCACGGGGGGGAGGGGCCCTCACCCAGGGTTCCTTATGCCCTTGCCTGGGGGCTTCCTCTGAGCAGCAGAGGTGACACCCAACAAGTGAGCGGGGCTGTGTGGCTGCCTCCAGCCTCCCACATTGCCCGAGGCAGTTGAGGCAATCGGAACCCTTGTATGGCCAAGTGCTTGGTCTCCCCAAAGCTGTGAAGGTGGGGCTAGGGCTTCCTCTCCCCACTGAACACATGAGAAAATTGGGGTCAAGTGTGCAGCGTCCAAAGGCTGCCCCGGGAATGAGGCAGCCCCAGCTGCGGACCCACATCACAGGCCTCGCCAGGGTTCTTCCTGCCGCTTGAATGATGCGGTATTGAGGGGCAACTTGGGGCACAGCAGCCCTTGAAGGTCGCAGTGTCTATGGGGATACCCTCCTAGGAGTGACGTAGTTGACACCGCACCAGGCAGGTGGCTGGGAACACGGGGGATCCCTTCCACAGCTTGAGGTGGGACCGCCCTGCAGTGTCCGCACCCTGAGCTCTGCACCAACCTGAGGTGGGCGGCTGGGCCCCACCAGCCCCAGTGCTGCCTCCAAGGGAAGTCAGGGAGCAGCGCTGACACCCAGCCTCCCCCAGGTGCCAGAAAGCCCATGTGGGGGTAAGGAAGGAAGACCCTGGGCTGTGCCCTTCCGGAGTCACCTCGAGCAGTCCGGCAGCCTCTGAGCCTGTTTCCTCAGCCGTGAGATGGACATGGACACCGCGCTCTTTGGGCTCGCGGGAGGGTTGACACATGCGTGTTAGGTGTCCGACACTAATATGGTTAGTAATGCAATTCTTTTTTAAGTGCCACATTTCGCACGCCCTGCTAACCCAGCCCTAACCCTGGGCAGGGTGGACAGTCCCTGGTGGCGGATGGATGACCCGCGGCCCTGCCCTTCCCCCGCAGGGTCCCTGAGCTGAGCGCACGCCTCTATTGGGCGGGGGAACGGAGGCTTTCAGGAGAAGACCCAAAGGAAAATTGCCTGTAAGTGGGGCTGATCATATTAAGATCCAACTGCACTTAAACCTCTCGTCGGAAGTTGTGTAGCTGGGGCTGAAGAGCGCTCCCAGATGCTGGAGTGGTCCTGCTCTGCCGCCTGGCTCGGTCTGGGAGGCCCCACCACATGTACCTCCTGGTAATTGCCTCCTAATGCACCGTGGCTGGATTCCAGGGCCCTGTGTCTCCTCGCCTTGGGGTCAGTTCCTGGCATCTCCCCAGGGACCAGCCTCAGATGTACCCCCACCCCCAGCCAGCAGCTGAGCTTACGCTTTTGGGCCATTTCTAAACTCTGCGCAGAACAGTTTGGCCTGGAAGATGAAACACGGCCACACTGGAATTCTGTTCTAGACCAGGGCTTTTGTGTCCAGAGATTGTATATCAGATGTGAGAGGGGCTATATAAAAGGAAGTCACAATCCCTTCTTTTATAGATAGAAGTAAACCAATGTGGCTTTTATTTTCTCTTGCAAAATCAGTTTTTTTCTCCTTGTCACAAAAGGAGTATGTGTTCTTTGCAAGAAATTCAAAAAGAAAGACAAAAAAGAAAAGGAAAATCTTTGTGTAACTTCAAAAGCTGGGGAAGACGTGTCTTCACGTTTTGCAGAATGTTTTCCCATACCTTTATGTACTTGAAGAAAGTTACTTCGTATTAAATTTATAGTCTTGTAGTCCTTTTCCACCTGTATATTAGTGCATGGTTTTATTTTACAACCTTACTTTGAGTGGCTGCATAGAGTTGTGTATAGTTGTTTAACCAGGTCCTCTGTGTTAGACATTTCGATCATCATTGATGTTAGTGGTTTTTGCTACTCATGATTGTTCTGATTTGGAAATTGTGAGAACGGATGGTGGCAGGTGGGTGGTCTAGCTGGGGGCCACTTCCGCGGAGCCAGAATTTGTGCCGGGGACTGTGTGGAGCGCTTCACATACATTGATGCCCAATTTCCTAATCCCCACAGCGGCGTGGATGAGGCGCTATTTTTATCCACTTTACAACTGAGGAAGTGAAGGCGCAGCTGGGCTGCTTATCAGCAGCATGGCCCTGTGCAGCCGTCCTATAGCTGAGCCTCTGAGCACAGGGATGATTGTTTCACAGAATCAATTTCTAAAAGTGGGCTCGCTGGTGCAGCTCCCGAAGGCTATGCATGTTTTTAAGGCTTTGAATATTTTAATAAAGCAAATGGCTTTCTGGGAAGGTGCACCAGGGTGTTGGAGCGCGCCTGAGAATCTTCCCCACGTGCTGAGCGCCCGCCGAGTGCCAGGCCTGACACTCAGTATTCTAGAAAGCGTCTCTCCTTGGAGGAGAAGCCGTCCTGGGCCTGGCCCAGCGGAAGCGAGATCTCAGTACATCGCAGCCAGTGTTAGCATCCCTTTTGGCATTGTATTTGGGAGAAGAAGGCTTGTGATCGAAGAACCTCAGCAAGGTTAAAGTGAGATGCGGGTGCTGGCAGTGAGCACCGTGAGATTGGCAGAAAGTAAGAGACGTGGGCGGTGGTCAGGGAAGGCTTCCTGCTGCAGAGTGACAACTGCAAGACTCAAGAACAGGGAAGGGCCCGAGGGAGATGGAGGAGGGAAGGCGAGAGAGGAAAACTGGCCCAGATCGGCCAGGAGCCTGTGGCGACAGAGGGCCTGGCCAGACAGAGCCACTGAGCAAGAAAAACATAGTCTTAAGGGTCAGTGAGGGATGGGACCACGGACAGGGAGACCTGGGCCACCAGGGCAGGAGTCTCAGAGCTCAGTCTGCAGTGTGGCCTGCTGGGCTCCTCTGGAAACAGTCAGGGGACATGCTGGGTTTTCTGATGCCAGCGACACCCTTGTCCTCACTCGTGGTAAAGCAGGGGAAAAACACGCGGCGCTGAGTGCAAGGTTAGGCGACAGAGAAGCTTTATGGGAAGCTTCGGCTTGCATCCCTCCTCCCTCACCAAGCCGAGGTCTGCACAGCGGGTGACCCTGCCAGCTGCCCAGAGAATTTCTGCCTCCCCATGCGGTGGACACTGGCCGTCCTCCCCCGCATCCCAGGGACATAGGAGCAGATCTGTGGGCAGACAGGCAGGTAGGAAGTGGACAACAAAGGCCAGATTCCCCAGGCCCCCACACAGCTCCTTCTCCCAAGCTCCGCATTGCAAAAGCGCTTACCTCTCTTGGGCGGGAACAAGGGAGGCTGGGAGAAGGGTGGATGTGGCCTTTCTAATACTCTTCCCTCCTGGGAGCAGAGCATGCCTTTCCTCATTCCCACACGAGAGCAGATACATCCCCAGCCCCAGCCCATCACCCCTCCACCAGCCCAATCCAAGTACTTTGGAGGAAGGGCTGCCAGCAGCCTGCCGGCACAGTGCTGTGGGGAAATGTTGGTGTCCAGCAGACCTGGTTCTAGTC